GGTCCCATTTCGGCCAAACGTCCGTGCTCCAAGATAAGGACGCGGTCCGACGTCAGGATTGAGCCGATGGGTCACTGTGAGCACCGTGCGCTCGGCACACTCGCCCGCACCGCCTGTCGTAAGTATCTTGCGATTGAAGGACGTCGAGATGGCGACTGTGGTTGGGCTCCATACTGGTGCCGCCACAAAAGTGGTCCTGGCGAGGCTCAACTCCGTGGTGACCTAGATGTATGTATGTTCATGATGTTGCGTGCATTGTACTGGAGATCAACTGCTTCCCGAGGTGCAGAACCGGACAAGGCTTCCGGATGGGTGACATCTGTATCAAACAGTATAAAACACTTTCATGAAAATGTCTCATGTGTGGTTTCTGTGCTACTGATAGGTGTTTTATACTGTTTGTATTCAGGTGTCTGATTTGATCAGACACGATTGGCAAATTGATGCATTGATTGAGTGGAGCTTCATGTGGGCGCTTCTCTTTGGATCGTCTTTGGTACAACGACGGCGCTGGATGCTGTGGGTTGCCATGTGTGGTGTAGGGCGCTCAGCTGTTTAGTGCTGCGTTTGATGGTCGCATCGACGACGTCCAGCACCTGCTCAAGGAAGGCGCCGACGTCAACTATACCAAGGTGCCTTGGACACGCTCAACGGCACCAAGACATGTCCTATTGCGTAGGATGCAGCGACGCCGCTCTTCGTTGCTGCGCAGAACGGTCACGACGCTGTCGTCAAGACGCTCCTCGGCGCCAACGCCGCTGTGAACCAAGCTAACGACGTAATCTCCTTTGGCTCGTTGCGCATTTCGATGTTGGCTCAAATGTCGACGATGATGTAGACTGGAGCGACGCCGCTTTTCACTGCTGCAATTCAAGCGCACGACGTCATTGTCAAGATGCTCCTCGAAGCTAACGCCGCCGTGAATCAAGCAGCCAACGTACGGGGTCATGTGTTCTACAAAATACAAACTCGTATCGTGCGTAGGATGACGACAGTCCACTGTGTGCTGCGTCACGTCGTGGTCATCGCACAACGGTGCAAATTCTTCTGGACGCTGGGGCCGACGTCGACAAGTGCGTAAACGCAAGCTTTGTGGACTGGGATGTCCAGCTCTTGGTACCACAGTGTTCTTTGCTCTATGCGTCACTTAGCTTGGCCTAGGGCGGGTCGACCTCTCTCTTTGCGGCGGCTCTGATTGGACACGAAGAGGTTTGCCGCGTGCTGCTCCGTGCCAACGCAAATGTCCACGCGTCGGACAGCGTACCATCTACTCGATCAGCTGAATCCTTTGCTCACATACCCGATGTGTAGAGTGGCCAAACGGCGCTGACGGCCGCAGTGCGCGGCGGCCACGAGTCGATCGTGCGACTCTTGCTCGATGCTGGCGCCAGCCTCGATGATCGGCACCAGGTCTCTTTCCTTCAACCTCTGCGACCGCTCTTCATAGTCCTCTAGAGCTTGACGGCGCAGGTCATCGCGATCGAGAACA